GTATGCCTTGCTATCAGACGACCGCACGATTCTTGGCAGCGTAATCTTCTTGTCATCGATTCTGAACCAGTCCAGAATATCCTCGTCATACTGCAGCGACTCGAGATTCATAAACATGGTCCTCGACGCATTTGACGGGTCAGAAACGTAGACATCTCGCTCCGTCGCGCCGTTGAGCTTATACGTAAGCCAAGTGTCTACCGTTCCAAAAGCAAGAACACCGCGCTCATAAGCATCTTTGACTTCGGGAATGTTTTCAAGAAGCCAGAGAAGCTTGCTGACGGAGGGATATGTTGAGAGGGGAATTCCACATCGCGAAATCAACTCGCTTGCGCCAAGACGACGCTTGAGGCGGCGGACAAGATCTTTCGATCGTGTGTCTGTCCAGACGATGGCGTTGTGCAGAGCTTTGCCAGTGGTCTTGTCCCAGACAACAGTAGTCTCACGCTGGTTTGTGATACCAACAGCCTTGATCTGCTCACGAGAGTGGCCTTGACCTTCAAAGGCTTCTACAGCGCCATCAATGCACTGCTCAACCGAGCTGATGAGCTCTTCCGGATCATGCTCATGCCATCTAAACCAAACATCAACAATCGTTCATGAATCATGTAAAAGGCGAACTTACCCAGGATGAGGATAGTATTGCTTGAATTCAAGCTGGTGCGTAGCTACAACATCGCCACTGGTGTCAAAGATCAAGAAGCGAGAACTTGTCGTACCCTGATCAATGGCACCAATAAAGGTAGGATTCGGTTTTCCGTTAAGCATAGGCATTGTGAGAGATGGGGATGCAGTGAAAATTGCGGGGAAAGGTGTCAGATCCGGGGAGAGCGAATGCAACAGTGACTAAAGAGGTAGCAGCAAAAAGGAATCGAACAACAGCAAAATTGATTGGGGACTGCAGGATCAAAAAGCGTATCATATTGGGGTGTTTAAGTATCTCCCATCTCGGGTTCACTGACGGCAACAAACACCGAGATTTCAGATGTAAAGTGCATCTCGGGGAAGCATTTCCCACCACCCTTGGATGAATCTGCGGGGTATTGAAATCCTTCACAGCATTTGCAATCGTCTCACGCACACCCCTTGTAATACCAACAAACCAACGTCACTTTCCTGATGTAGCTTGTAAGTAAGTAAGCTAAGCCTCGGCTTTGGTGATACCGAAATACAGAGCCCATGTCACAAGACAAAACCATCGGGGATCTAGCAAGCGAAGACAGCCAACAACGCCTACCGATGCATGTACATCTGATAGAGAGGGGTTCGTTCATGTTACGTTTCCCCGCAGTCTTGTTCCAGAAGCTCGACTGGGCGCATATACATACTGCGGGTCGGGGTCAACACACCTTGACCATACCTTAATTCCCAGCCAAGCCAACCTCGGTCAAGCGGATGTGCAAATCCTTTTCTCTTTTCGCACGACGATCCGGGGTTTGGTTCGGACTGTGGAGTACAATATGCAAACACAAGTCTCGACCGTGTCCCCCCCTCTATTTTCCATCCCACCCGGCCTTCGGTGTAAGCAACCTGATCAGAGCAGATTCTTCGGTGATGATATCCACGTCTGAACATCCGTCTCTTTTCTTCTTCTCGCTCGGTGAGTGCCGCCGAGCGGCATTTCGCTGGTACTCTGCACCGCCGCCGTCCAAGCTTTCGTATCGCGGCCGCACCATGGTTCGATTCATCGGGTGTAGTCGCTGCGTCTCCCCGTGTCCGTGTTCCCTCTTTCCTAACGCAGTGGCGGATCGACATGCCTGCAAAGCCCACTCGTTGGTGAGGTCTGATAACCTCGCGGGCTTCGGTATGCTTTGCATGCAGAGGGTGGTGTTTGCAAATACCGAGGCCGAGAGCAAGAAAGAGGATCCCATCTCTTGGGGATGAGATGAGGGGCAAAAAGATACCCAGGCTTCAGTTCGTTTGCTGACCATAAATTGTAACGTGATCCCCAGAGATGCTTGATGACGCCAATCCTCTCAGTGTAACCTGTCTCTCTTGCATCCGCCAACTTTTCTCCTCTCTGTTTCAAAGATCATCTTCACAGGCTCACTCTAGGATGCCTATCCCTACCATGAACGACTCCATCTCTGAATCTTCTGTGCACAAATCTTCCATCCCCACTAAAGTCGAGATGAGCCAGAATGAAAAGTACAGCGAGGCTCCGAGTGAGCCGCCGACTATTCCTCCCCCGCCTGAGCAGTATGCCTGGAGTCGAGTGAGAGAGTACTGCCAAGATGCCTTTTCAGAATTCTTCGGTACTTTCATTCTTCTTCTCTTTGGCGACGGCGTCGTTGCTCAGGTTGTCCTCAGCCGAGGAACAAAGGGTGATTACCAGAGTATCTCATGGGGATGGGGGTAAGTCATTATTGCCGCGGCCAATTGAGCTCACACTGACATGAATCAGCCTCGGTGTCATGCTTGGAGTATATGTTGGCGGTAAATCAGGTGGTCACTTGAACCCAGCCGTGACTCTCGCCAACTGTATATTCAGAGGTCATCCATGGAGGAAGTTCCCTGTATATGCCGTCGCCCAAGTCCTCGGAGCCATGTGTGCTGCTGCCGTCGTGTACGGTAACTACAAGTCTGCCTTTGATGCTTATGAGGGCGGACCAGGCATTCGAACAGTGATTGGCGAGAATGCAACCGCTGGCGTCTTCTGCACGTATCCCGCGGAATTCATGACACGCACTGGCATGTTCTTCTCTGAATTCATCGCCAGCACGATTCTGCAGTTTGTCATCTTCGCTATGGCTGATAGCGCTAACATCGGTGCTGGTCCTTTGATGCCACTTGGTTTGTTCTTCCTGATCTTTGGAATTGGTGCATGCTTCGGCTGGGAAACTGGTTATGCCATCAACTTGGCTCGTGATTTCGGACCTCGTTTGGTTTCTTACATGATCGGATATGGAAGTGAGGTTTGGTCTGCTGGCGGGTATTACTTCTGGGTGAGTGTAATAACAATACCTCGGCTCTCAATATCAACTAACAGTCAATTCCAGATCCCCATGGTGGCGCCCTTCATGGGATGTGCTTTCGGCGGCCTTCTGTATGATGTCTTTATCTATACAGGACCCAGTCCGATCAACACGCCAGGCATGGGTCTCCCACGTCTGTTGAGCCCTCGTCGCTCGACGTGGTCCAACACTTACAGTGCTTCCTCTCCCGTATAGCCGTGCTCGATCTTTGGAAATCCGAGTGCTTTCGTGGTGAGGGTGTAGGGAGCGAGACCGTAGACGATGGTTGAAATTCGCGTTGTGAGACGCAGAGACATGGCCTAAACAGTGGCGCTAAAACGGCAGATTCTTCATTCGAGAAGCGACGAGCTTAGCATGCGAGAATGGCGTTCGTGTTCATCTTTTTTTGTTGTTGCGTGTTTGCGGCGGCGGTGTTGAGTGTTCGTTGATAGCGTAGATAATAAGCTCATGCTATGACTCAAAATTCTCAAACGATCGTGATCGGTGGACGAAAATGACATAATACAATGCGTGTTAGTCTAAATCTGCAAGCTGTTAGTACTCTGTGGTAGCAAAGTCAATTGTTATTCTTTGTTGAAGGGGGTTTTGTGATGGATCGGTATTGCATCGTTTCTGTTGGAAGCTCAGGTCACGTACCTTGCAAGAGGTCGGGGTGCAGGAAGCGCATTGCTTCAATCGAAGACAATAAAATATCGCATCGATCATGGAAGCGTAGTGTAGTTGGAGTAAATATTGAATGAAATGTTCGAGCCTTGGTCAGAGGTTGTCGGTCTCTGCAATCCACCCGCGGACGCCGTTTCGGTTGTGTCGCTGATGATGGTTTGAATGAGGCACTCACCAACGGTTGCCGCCGCTAACGGTCAGCCACCAACCCTAGACCTTGGGCACTCTCAACTCCTCGCTCCATCTGCATCGGCACAACAGCACTGTGAACCTCGAAATGAGCATAAAAACAGATCGCCAATTTCTAGCACTCATAAGTACAGAAGTTGCATACAAACAAGGCATATATGTTTGCAATAGTCTTGGAGCTGGACATGTTGTCAGTTGAATGTCTTTCAGCCCTTAAGCCATCACGATACAAACATCCACCAGTCACATCACACTATGACCGTCTCTCGCCTTCTGATTAGTGGAACAATTTCGTCAGTTAAGCCGTACACAGAATGACACATACAGAGCAGATGTCTATGCAGTTCAAGCAAATGGCATAGTTATTTCCCGCATCGTTTAGCCAGAAAACTCATGACCTCTTGAACCTTTTGACTCTCACCCCAAAGTCTAGAACCTCGGGCTTCCCCTCCCCGACAGTGGGGGCAGCACATGTAACTCTCCGCACATCGGCGCGGCTCATCATTGTTCCAGCTCGCCTTCGGGCTTTAGCTTCGGAGTCTGCTTACCGAGATGCATAAGACCAGGGGTGAAACTCTCGTGTCGACGTCAGCTCCTCGGTGTTTTCGCCCCGACGTGCATTAATGGGCTTGAGGCTCAGGACCTCCCGGAATTCCTCTTTGAGCCATGCGACCCAGCCCGCGACGTCTATTGCACCGTTTCTGCATCCATTGCATCTCGCTTGCGGGTCAGATGAGAGATGCTTTGAGTACTTCGGGCGTTGTTGGAATCAAGCAGAGACAGATGATGCATTGCATAGCCTAATTCTGGGTCTGAACCCCCAATCTTTGCTTCTCATGTGCTCCCGTCGCCCTCGTAAAAAACTTGTTAAAGCCTAAACAATCCATGATATCAGAATCACTTTCGCAGACCCGTTTCAACTCCGCTAATTTATGGAAACTCTCTCTCTCTCCTCATTCTCCACGATCATCGCGCCTCGATTTACTTCTTATAAACCCCAAAGCCTAGCTCTCTGTCTTTATTCTACCTGATCTTTATTCCCCAGACCGAGCCTCTCCAGCTTTTGCTTCAATCTCCCTCCCCCAAGCTTTTTTACACCCAAAGAAAGCTCTCCGCGCAAACAATCGCTCCCGGTGCAACAACACCCCCAAACACCGCACACATACACAGAAAATGCAGCAAAGATTACGGTCGCTCAAGCGCCCTCTGCTCCTCGCAGCAGCAGCCACAACAACAGTCACTCTCGGAGGAGCATACTACGCCTCCCGCAACAAGACACACATTGTCGACAAGCCTCTCGTTCCCCTCAAGCGCGATGACAAGAACCGCATCGTGCCCCCTACATTCAGCGCCACAAAGACCCGCGCATCGCAACTCGCTGAACTTCGTCGCAGCGGCGAAGACACAGAATACGACCTCCTCATCATCGGAGGCGGCGCTACAGGAACCGGTATCGCTGTTGACGCCATCACCCGCGGCCTCAAAGTCGCTCTTGTAGAGCGCGATGACTTCTCCTCTGGCACAAGTTCAAAGAGCACAAAGCTTGTCCACGGAGGTGTGCGATACCTAGAAAAGGCTGTCTGGAACCTTGATTACGGTCAATTGCAGCTTGTCATGGAAGCTCTTCGTGAGCGCAAGACGTTCCTCAACATTGCGCCTCACTTGTCCAGCTCATTGCCAATTCTACTACCCCTCCAGAAATGGTGGGAGGCGCCCTACTTCTGGGCCGGCACCAAGGCCTACGACCTCCTCGCTGGGTCACAGGGTCTTGAGAGCTCATACTACATGAGCAAGAACAAGGCCTACGAGGCATTCCCTCTGTTGCGACGGGAGAACATGGTTGGTGCGTTGGTGTACTATGATGGTCAGCACAATGACTCTCGCATGAACGTCGCTCTCGCTCTGACTGCTTCTCACTACGGCGCTACTGTTCTCAACCACGTTGAAGTAACTGGTCTTGAGAAGGATGCCAACGGCAAGATCATGGGCGCTCAAGTCCGCGATGTTCTCGCCTCCAAGGACGGTGATGCCGCTGCCGCTCAGCCCTTCAAGGTCCGCGCCAAGGGTGTCGTCAACGCAACCGGTCCCTTCACTGATGCCATCCACCAAATGGACGATCCCTCTCGCAAGCCCATCGTCGCTCCCGCTTCAGGTGTGCACATCATGCTTCCCAAGGACATCTGCCCCAACGGTCTTGGTCTCCTCGACGCTGCTACCTCAGACGGTCGCGTCATCTTCGTTCTTCCCTGGCAGGGCTACACTCTCGCTGGTACCACCGACAACCCATGCGAAGTTGAGGCTGCGCCTGTTGCGCAACAGCAGGATGTTGACTTTATCCTGAAGGAAGTCAGCAAGCTTCTAACACCCGAGTCTGTTCTTTCACGCAAGGATGTCCTCGCTGCTTGGTCTGGTAAGTCGCATCATCTCAACTGACCTGACCCGAACTCTTCTAACAATCTATAGGCATCCGACCTCTTGTCAAGAACCCCAACGCCAAGAACACCGAGTCCCTCGTCCGAAGCCATCTCATCACCACCTCTCCCTCTGGCCTCCTCACATGCGCCGGTGGCAAGTGGACTACCTACCGTGAAATGGCCGAGGACACCGTCAACGAGGCTATCAAGCTCTTCGACCTCAAGCCCCAAGCCGTGGCTCTTCCCGACATCAGCGGCGCTGGCGCTTCCGGCTTCACCACCCGCGGCGTCTGCTGCACGCGCAACGTTCCTCTCATCGGCGCTCACGGATACTCCACATCTCTCGCCTCTCAATTGATGGAGGTCTACAACATCGACGCTGACATCGCTGACCATCTCGCTCACAACTACGGTGATCGCGCTTGGACTCTTCTCTCCATCTCCCCCTCTCTCAACACCCGCCTCGTCTCCTCTCTTCCCTTCATCGAGGCCGAGGTCTCTCACGGCATTCGCTCCGAAGCCGCCTGCACGATTCCCGACATCATCGCCCGCCGCACCCGTCTCTCATTCCTCGACTCCCATAAGGCTCTCGAGGCTCTTCCCCGCGTCCTCGACATCGCCTCCACAGAACTCCAATGGAGCGCTGCCCGCAAGGAGCAGGAGAAGGCTGATGCCATCAAGTTCCTCGCCTCTATGGGTCTTGAGCAGCAGACCGATGCGCCCGTGCAGGCCTCTCAGGAGGAGAAGATGCCCGTGCGCAGCATTGAGCACGCACCCCGACCTACCCGCGTTGGTGGTCTTGAGGTCGACCTCAACGGTCTTGGTGGTACCGGCTCTTACAGCAAGTCGCGCGACGACTAGATGAGCATTTTATTTTAGAGATAGCATGTAGCATATAGAGATTCCCGGCATTGGTTGTGTTATACTTATACTAAAAGCAGGGCGCATAGATGCAGGATTATTGGGCTGGGACTGGACAAGGCGTCACGGATTTCCTTGATACTTATGTATTTTAATGAACTTTCATGATCATCTTCATCTCCTCCAAATAAATGCCTCAGCTGTTGTAGTCTATTCATCCAAATGCTGACCATATCTACATTCGAGCTAATTCCTCTACGTTTGTTGATCAATTGGAGATGATCTCCGCAATCAAATCCTGTTTAGAGAATCCCCATCGGATCGTCGATGATTCCCTGCATCTCCATAAAATGAGGCTCCATTACATCAGGACCCATCTGGAGCCCCAGACTAAACATGCATCGTGACCTGGAGATGAATGACCTAGCAGTTCCGTAACTGCGGGCCTTGTTCGTAAAGTGCGCGATCCTACGAGTGACCCGAGACCCAACTTCGTGACGGGATCAAATGGCTGCAACTAGGAGAGGCGGTACGCCAAAATGGAACCGCTTGACCATCTTGGACGTCCGAGCCGTGACATATAGGACATCAATGAAACTAATTGGAATCGCCCTGGTGGAAAGCTTGAACGAGCTCACAAGCATTTCAGACGTCGAGGTCCGTACTGCCCTGTATCTAATCGTCGTAGCCAGTTTGCAAAACGTTCGTGATGCATGGTTCACACGCTTCTGATGTATTATTGGAATAATCTACATGGAACTGTATATCCAAGGCCTGATCATTGTTTTGTTCATCCATCTCGACAGGTACTATTTCGGGTCGCCGGGCGGCTTTCGGGCGCAGGTATTGCTGGTAAAAAGGTTAGCCTATCGAAGGCCACGAGGGAATTTGTCTCAACTCACCACCAACGTTGGGCTCAGCCCTAAAAAGTCCAGCAGATCACCAAGGAATGATAAACTTGATGTCGTGATGCAGGTTGTGATATCAACCGTCCCAGGCTGCATCTGCGATCACGAGCACTGACCAGATTTTCCCAGCCCGAGATGGTAAATAGATACCCAAGCCTGTTGGAGGGTCTTGCCGTCTATTAAGGACATGCGACTTATGTGTCAACTTATCAGGGGGTTGCTATTCGCATTGTCGCCAAGGAAATGGTCGACCGAGCCGATGCATCCGTCATCAGTTGTTCTGGATAGCCCCAGAGTCACATCATAACGGCTAGCAGTAGCTCTCGGTTTCAATGAGAAGGCCAAGAATGGATCGTGTTGCTTTCTGGGTCGACGCCATAAGGGAATCTTCAAGATTGTCTCAAGCTATCCTGTCACACAGGATGCTGACGCCAGGGCTCAATCCCCCGACAGTCGCGAGGTGATATCAAGCAGCACAGCGTCTTTTATCTTGGCAACAGACTCATCGCTAACTTGTCCCTCTTGAATGAAAGACAGTTGATGATCCAATTGACTTATGTCCTCACGTAGCTCTGCCAGTTCATTGCCAACGCTCTCCTCGAATTCTTGTGTATTCTTCTCGACCGTTGTCTCGAGGGCTCCGAAGCTATGGTGTATATCTTGCTGTGACTTGTCGAAAGCTTCATATCGTTCTTGGAGCTTGGCTACAGTTTCCCTCAGTTCCTGATTCTCTTTCTCCAAGAATGCAATGCGCTTCCCGTCTGCGTCTTTCGCTTGCTTGAGCATCTGGAGTTCAGCCCAAATCAAAGCGATTTCTTCAGCACGTTCGGTCACTGTATCTTGTCGTGGACGCTTTCTGTCAGGCTTGGGATCGATCGGAGGCGGCGGCGGTGGGGGTTCGGTTTCTTCGTAAGACGGCGGCGCAAGCGTGTCATCTGCACCAAGCTGCACAATCTTTGCTCCAAGACCAGCATACATGCTAGCCAGTTGAAAGCGGCTGTTGCAAGTTGTCTTGAAAAGACCCTGGCTGACTGCATCGCCAACTGACTGGAGCTTCGGAGATGCATTGCGCGCCTCGATGTAAACGGTGAAAACAGTTGCCCGAGAAAACTCGCGAATGGCATCAAGTACAACACCTGACCGTGCTCGACCTGCTGGACGTATTGGCTCGAGAGCAGGAGTCGGCACAAGGATGTCAAGACGGCGGTGCAGCTGGAAACGAAGGCCAAGAGCTGGGGACCTGAACTCTTGCTCAACCTCGCTACAGACGGGCGAGTTTTTAACGAGGTCAAGAGAGATGATGGAGGAAGCGCAGGCGCGAAGTGCAATATCGCATGTGTTGTCAAGGCCTTTGAGCTTGAGAGGAATGTGAATGTCGAAGAGAGAACCTTTCGAATCGAATCGAGTTGCCAACGTGATAGAGCTAACTTTGGGATCGGGCTTGGCTAGAATCCGTGTCGTGCCATCTGACTGCGAAATGTGTTATTGTGAATTCCATCGGGCTGAGCTGATGCTGAGCCTTACCTCGTTATCAGACTGCCACTCGATGACAGCACGGGTAGTGAAATGGACGTCAAGGCATGGTGAAGTCGACATTCCTGCAACCAGTCAGTTCTACAACGTGATGTAACTTGCCTTCGTAAGCTCCGCACCACGTCGTGCCAAAACGTGCGCGGCCAGAAGAGGGTGAGCTTCGCTGCACAGGCAATCTCTGAATCTCCAGCGCGCTGCGAGACCAGAGACCCCTTCTACAGACCCCGGTTGTTCCAGCAAAGGAGGCGCGGAACGCACTCGTTTGAAGGGTACAAGTCGGAATTTTATAACGGTCTGTAGTGCGATTTACCGCCTCTTCTTGGACGCGACGAGTTGGCAGGGCGTAGTTGGAGAGAGTTGAATGATGGGAGAAGAAAACATTGCGACGCTGCTGGGCTGAACATGCGTGCGTGATGGAGCGAGCGTGAATGAACAGTGGATTGTGGATGCTGTCAGTAAGTGGCACTGAAGTGGGGCTGTTCGCTATGGAGAAATAGTTTGTCCGTTCAGCCGATGAACATGGTGGGTCTTGCGAAAATGCCCTGTAATTGTAGCTGGTAGCACCTCCCTCAGGTCACTAACACTTCTCTTGCGATAACTTAGTACTCGCCAGGTCAGTACCTCACTACAAGATTAATTGGCTGTGGATTGATATACCACAGACACCTGTGAACCTTGTGATGTTTGCAAAAAATGCCCGGACAGATGTCCTTTTGTTGGCGGATACCGGATAAAAGTTATGCGCAAACCGTTCAAACTCGCTCGAGCGTCCTTGTATTAACGTTTCCAACGTCTTCCACAAATGTGATAGTAGAAGCATACACATGAATTTCCTATTTAGATCTCATGTCGATTGTCAACGTCTCAGGTATTAATTCGATATAACTTGGCGAAGTTTTATAATCTTGAACTGTTGATACACAACCTGCTTTCGAAGATGATTCGTGTTTTTCAAGATCCTGTTTCAAGCATATCCTCTACCCCTACGGCACCAGTTACAATCACACGACCCAGCCTCTTTATACCGTCTGCCAAGTGCAGAGAGACAACCCGCCTCACTACCAAGAGCACATCAATAGACTCAGACATTCAGCTTCTACCTCTGCGCCGAGCATGTCTTAGCTTTCAATCGTTAAGTTTCTTGGGTTTTCGTCTGCCGCGCCGCGTTTGTCGACTTCTGCAGTGCATCACTATCCCCGAAGGCACCTGCGGGATGGAATCTGTCAGTTTCAGTGAAAGGGCGAATGTCCGGATTTTGGTGAGATCTCGCAGTGCAGGTATCTCTTTCAAATGCATTCAAGTTCTGTCTCCCCAGGCACAATGTATCAAGATAATGGCCTAAAAATGACTCGCTACAAGAGCCGCATGTGATGTGTTTGGAGGTTCTCTCCTGAATCTCTGGCGCCTCCCAGTGAGCTGTGTCCAGTGGAAGCTCCGGCGGGTGTCATTACCGAGGACAGAGAATTCGAGATGTTGGAGCTTTGGAATGAAGGTCTTCAGACCGATGGATAATCGGATTCTAAAGCAAATGCTATTTACGTGGTGAATGGCCTGAAAAGGCCGCTTTCTCAAGAAATCACGGCAGAATGAACACATGTTGACCACAGTTGAGATTACCACTTTGATTGTCACCAATCTATAGCTTTACCGGCAAGACGTACAAGGCTTCGACTTGAGCTAAAGATGAAGGCAGTTTTGTAAACTCTTGCACCATGAAGAACTAGTTTCACCGTGTGGATGTAGATATGTCTTTTGTAGCGCATGGCGATAGGGGCGTCCTCGTCGCACGGCACATCATGAACCACTAAGTAACAGGCCAAGAGAAGAATTCGATTAAGAACAGTGTCTGTGCGGCGAGGATTAACTAGGTATCTTTGTGACCTCACAATGAACGCCGTGGTGGCAGGAGAAAGCAAACACCACAATATAACCAGTGAAAGGTAGAGAATGGCAAGAGGTGATTCCCATCGGTAACAACCGCCGCTACGGACGTTAAAGTAAGGTCCATTAGCCTAAGGGGTCCGCAAGGACATGGAGGTCTCCTCGTGTTAATCTAGCTTTAGTGTATATCAACGGTACAGCCCATGCCAGAAACCACCTCTTGGCTGAAGTCTTCGTGACGTCGTCGATTCGTCGGCTTAGCTACGTGCAGTGGCAGTTCTCACAATGGAGTACGAGCCTGAGGAGGACATAAGACCTTGAAAGTTCTTACTATCTTCACAGGCTCGGTGCCGCCAGGTGAGATAAATCTTTCTGGCATTGCCCGAATAACCAATTCGAAGTTCGATTGACGAGCAGCTACCTGATCGCCGGTATGAAGTCCTTCTCCATCATTATCAATCTGCAATACGGCCGTGATGCGCGGCTGAAGGGCCTCCGTTCATCCTCAGTATGTTCGATCCCAAAGCGAACATCGAGGAATTCTTTGTTGGTTCGATTCTCGATCTTGACTGGCGGCATATGAAGGGCTTGGGTTTGAGGGAGCATGTGGCTATCATCTCTACCTGGGCCATCGCTGGTGCTTCGGCACTGAAAGAACTTCATATGGTTTCTTGCGAACTGGTCTTTGATATCTCCGGAACCAGAGACATCGGAATTAGCGCCCGGCGTCCCTGAGGTTGCGTTGCCATGAATCGGTGCCCGTGTCTGTGACCAGGAACTGCTCGATAGAGTTGTTCGGGCGCAGGCATCCGAAAATGAGACACACCAATCGTAAAGGATTGCGTGTCGCCGCTGACTAGCTCTTCGACCTCGCTCATCGGACTTGAACCTCTTTCGTTTGCTCTATGGATGATCGTGTCCGCCCACGGATCTGGACCCTCAGTTGGTACTTCTTCCTGTGGGGCGCGAAGGGCTACACGATAAAGCTTGATCAGTGCCAAAGAGAGTGTTATATCTCAGGTAGGTAGTTAGCTCCAGCGTGGTAGAATTGGATGGTCTTGCTTACATATCTCGTATTAGCCATGATTGTGTAACACATCGTCGTCCACTGATGCTACCGTGCAGAACACGTTGAGATCCAGATTATCGTAAGTGACCTGCGATGTCGATATAAGCATTAGGATTACTATCTAGCTCTAACTGTCAGTATTTTAGAGTTTATCATCGTGGCATGGTTAATTTAGCGGTCGATGACATTAACTCTAGCATCACTGGCACTTCGCAGCTCCAAGGACTTTGCTCTCTATCCGCCCGGGCGCCAAGAAGAGCCCATAAAGGACCATCAGCGCTGTGTCAGAGTCTGGCAGCTCACAAGCTTAGGCCGGGCTTGAGTTCTAATATAAGGTAAAAAAATAATGAGGATACTTTACCACATTAAAACAGTTTAGGATGGATTTAGTAGACCTGTGAGCCAAATGTTAGTAATTATTCATGCTTCGCATCATGGCTTGGTCAGGGCTTTTGCAATTAGGTCACACTCGAGAAGCTCACAAGCTGAGACCTTGCAGCTTTGACATGAAGGTCTTTGAATCGCCAAAGCTAATCCGGTGCTAAAACAAGACTATTTTCGTCTTGATTGGGCATGTATATGCCACTATCACATAAATTCCATAGACTGTTCGAATATATTCTGACTACAAACGCGACCGCCACTCCTCATTGTCACTTTCATGTCGTGACCGCGAGGACTAGAGATAGGCTTAGCGTCTCTAGTATCAAGAGACTCACGTCTGCTGCTATATCTTGAACCTCGATCGCGATCCTGTTCTCTGTCTCGGTCCCTGCCATCTTCCCGACCCTTGTCCTTCTCTCTCTTGGCCAACTGTGTTGGGTAGTTGGTATACTGCCCGGACTGACGTTATCAGAGTGTTATTTTGAGTCGATAGACCCAAAAGCTGATGGCTCATGTCACGCGCCACGCACATTCTTCTCGTTCTCTGTCGCTGTTGCGATCGCGACGGTCCCTATCCCGATGTCGATCTTTTCGATCCTTATCTTTTTGGCCTTTTGTCACTACGATCTCTGTCCCTTTCCGGACGCCAGTCGCGGTTGTAGTCTCCATCCTCGTGTCGATCTTCCCGGTTCTCATCTCTGTCCTTTTCCCGACGCCGGTTTGGGGCAAATACAGGTCTGGTATGCTCTTGGATATTCTTGATCGCACGCGCGTGACACTGATGGAGCCAGCGAGTATTTCCTTGCCCGAAAGGTCCGAGTATTCTTGTTAAACTCCGTCGTCTGTGGGACGGACCGACAGAGCATTATTTGCGATCCTTATCTTTCCAGCAGTTGATGATCTTTTCAATTGACGTTGAAGTTTCGAGGACTTTCGAGTTTTGGCTCGGCTTACTATGCCTTCGAGCGAGGTTTGACGCCAAAAACTTTCGATCTTGATAGACAACAGGGCTTGGATGTGAGTAAACATGTGGCAATCGTCTCTACCTAGGGTATCGGCGGTGCATTAGCATTGAGAGAGCTTCATATAGTTCTTGTGAACTGACTTTTGATATCACTGGAGCCAGAGACCTTGAAGTTGGCGCCCTTACGCCCTGCGGGAGAATGCTGGCCTTTAAATGGTTTCCCCTTCCTTTCTTCGTAAGTCTTTGAGCTGGAGCTGATGGTGGGCTGATGGGTCGGTCAAAAGAGTCAAGGCCTCAATCGTGATACTACCAAGCAGATGCCTGAAAAGCCTGCCAGTGGCCATGACTTCAATGCGATTGGAGAGCGGGGCCTGTAGGGCGCATACAAGGATTCTTTGAGATCTAGGGATAGGGATGGAAGTAAGAGTGTCTAATAGACTCGGCGACGTGACCAAGGAAGGGTAGAGAACCATAAGAGGTGGTTCCCATCGTTAACGACAGCTGTGGCTGACGAGAAAGGTGGCAGCGAGATAAGTTAGCAGGCTTATACCAGAGAATCTAAAAGTCGCAGGAAAATTGTTGCAGGACTGGCAATGAGATGCGTCTCGATGGATACAGTAAGTAAATGAAGTGGCACAGCTGTGGGGGCGGGCATCTGCACGCAGCCGTCGGTTGTTACTTGCCACAGAGATGATATTCTTAATAAATTTAGAAGATTTATACTAATATATTATAATTTTATTAAGTTTATATAAAGATTTAAATAATTTAAATAACTTGTAAAATTTATAAATAAATAATAAATTTGTATTATTTTATAAAAGTATTATAGTTATTTTATTTAAAATTCTCTAAGTTTATAATATTCTTAGACTGCCTATCCTAAGTCCAGGGTGCCTCAGGTACCGAAGTATCTCACTTCCACAACCTCGCGAGCCTCGACGCGTCCTGCCTACCTTACCTTACCTTACCTTTTTATTTTCAAGATCATCCCTTCGTATCATAGGCACCTACACCCCTGCGTCCCGAACAATGAGTTTTGACGCACCACCTGTCCCTGCACCTCAGAATGAGCACGCCAAACGTACCAACGAGCTCTTTGTCGTCTTCTACGAGGAACTTGGAAAATGGCCCTGGGAGGTTATCGATTTTGGTCCCCGAAAATGGGGTCAGAATCTCGTGCATGACTTCACGAGACTTCTAAGCGTCGACCTTCCTAAGACCAAGAATGTGTCACATGCGGAACTTATCGAATACTTGCATCACAATTCTGCGGACCACCCCAAGGTCCAGTATCAATACCAGCTGAACATGATGCTCATCGCAAAAGCAACCAAGTGGTTAGCAGAGAAACGTGAGCTCGCCGACCCCGACCCCGATTCTGATACCGACTCCGACGGCTCTATTCTCAATGAGCCCCAGAATGTCACTCGGAACCGAAAGCAGGCCCGGGCACTTCGAGCAGCTACTAGAACCGCGCGTAAGTTTGTCTTTCCAGAAGAAAGAATGACATTAGGCTAATAAGGCTAGCGGTTCGATCTGCTCGCAAACGACCTATCAACTACAGCGACCGTCACCATTTCCAACTCCATAATGTTGATGACACTGAAGATGATGGCGCTGGTGACGCCGATGAAGATGGACGAAACGAGGAAACCCAGGACGAGGTTGAGCTCGAGTCAGCCGAGCCTCCAGCCAAGCGAAGGCTGATGGTCTTCTTCAACTTCTCACCCGAGAACACGCATGAGCTATCTAAACTCATGGGAAACTTCACCACGGCAGGAGCCCGACACTCGATTCCTCAGCGAAATGGCGCAGGAGGCAACATTCTTCTCGATACACCTGTAAGTTCATATTATGAGCGGCACTGGCTAGTCTAACTGAATCGTACAGAACCAGTTGAATGAAGTCCAAATTGCATATGCCGACCATCTCAAACGCGAGATCGCCAAAGTGGAAGAGAACATCACCCGCACCGAAGCTAATATCAACAACTCGTCCCGGCGCCGTACAGGCTATCAGGAAACCGTCCGAAACAGCGCTGCAGCCCTCGAAAAAGCTACGAGGGAAGCCACCGAGGCTTCAAAAGAAGTCCAGAAAGCAAAAGCCCTCTGCGAAGCTGATGCTCAGGTCGTCGAGGAGTTGCGCCGCCTCAGCAGTGACAACCCGACAATACTCACAGAAGAAAGCTTTCAAAACATCAAAGAGAACACCCCTGCACAGAAAAAGAAGAGAGAAGCTGAAAATGCATTGCGCACCAAGGAAAGACGTCTGAATGACGTCAAAACTAAGATTCAGATCGCAGAGGCTAACATGGATCCTCTGAGCAGTAAGATCAGCGAATTGTCTGATGTACTGAAGGCAAAGAAGAATGTTCGTCGAAGCCTCGTTGCGATGCATCGGCTTGTGACAATGGGGGAGATGGAAGAGACTTTGGGGGAGAAAGGTCTTGAGGAGTGGTTGGGACAACAGCAAATGTAATCGTAACGCGAGAGAGATTTGTATGAGACTTCGAGATTAGGCCTTGGTTGGGGGCATAAGATAGTGTATGAATTTTGGCCTTGATAGTCAGATCAATTGGACGGTATTTCAGACACCCTAAAGTCAGGAAATTATCCTAAAGTTAAGATAATAAACACCTAAGGGTTTATAATTTTGTAAAAATTATATAATAATTAAATAAATTTATAAACTTTATAAAATTTTATAAATCTTAGGTTCCTTATTTCCTCCCTGCATTGTGTGGCATTTATGACGGAAAAATGGATTAGTGTTGGGTTTTGTTACTTGCAGTTGAGACTTATGGCTAGGAGCTTGAACTAGCAGACAGAACTTAGTCTCTTTGTCTGTATTGCCTGTGAATTGGAGTTCTGATTGTTGGCGTTGCGATTGTAGGAAGTTGGATTCTACACCCCAGACAGACACGATCTACGAGCCGACACCAAAGCAACGAGGTACTTTTATATCTACGCCTTCACAAGTTCACGTTCACAGAACGGCCCCGACGTCTCGCAGACCTCAAGAGGTAAGATTCCACGAATTTATACAATGTTATGATAAATAATCTAAGTTCCGCCCTAAGAGCCTAAAGTGCCTCAAAATGCGCCATCACCCTCACTCCAGCTTCGCCTCTCAAGTTCAATCTCTTTTCCATAACCACCAAATGGACAGAAAATTTCTACCAAAGCCCTGGTCCAGCGTCCATCCCATCTAAACCCCTCAAACTGAGCCTTTGTACAGTCCCAGTACTCAGGGTAAAATCCACTGTTTTCCCAATCTACAATCCCCGAGATCGCCCAACCCCTTGTCCCGTCTAGTCTTGTGACTTTGTCCACAAGGATGTTTCGCAGGTTCAAGTCAGCATGGGTAAACACAATTTGATGACCTCTCCGGGCGGGATCATCTGGGTGGCGAAGATATTGACTGAAAGAAGCTTCGTCTTCGAAGGGACCAACAGGGTTGCCATCTCGAATTCTTGGATCACTACATGCTTGGCCCAATGTATTAGATATGTGGTTCTTGGGACCGACCGGGGGAATCGCTCGGATCTGGGAAATGAAGCTTTGCATTTGGTCGACCAACTCCTGGCAGTCTCGATCGGAAAGCATATCCATTGCTCTGGAGAGGGGATCACCGCGAAGACCTGTCGTCAAGAGATACGTGTTTCGTGAGTCTGCTACCAGATCCAGTACACGAGGGACTGGCACGGAAGTGTACTTATGAACGAGATCGAGGGCATTAGATTCATTGAAAGCCCCTTCGTTAGTGGCCTTCAAGTAAAGACCGAAAGGCAAACGGCTAACTGCCAAGGAACTGGTACCTCCATAAAGGTTGTGTCCGATCTTTCGCAATACTTTATACGTTGATAGTCGTATGAATTGGGGGGTGATGAGCCAAGCTCGCCAGAGGATTGTGCGGAACATCTGGAATACAGTTGATAACAAGCCTGGTCTAGATGCTGAAGATTGTATCCCTGTCTGAGCTATCGCTGTTTCGTTTTCGGCGATTTGCTTCCTGACCTCAAGCCATCGAATGCTCGAAGCCAAGCGAGCATGGGTCCCGATGAATCGTGCGTCTACCTTGCGTATTCCTGATCGCGAGTGGTCTCCAAGAAGAGGATATTGGCCATCGACATCGAGTACTGGTTCTACTGTTCCAATTAGACACCAGCCAATTTTGTACTGAGATGAATTAGTATGAGGGAGCCCGAAGAATGATATCACTTACCTCAATCATTGATGGTTGTAGCCGATGCAATTTCACCACCCCATTCCTGTAAGCCTCGGCGGCTGACCTGCGCACAAGCCAATGACCATCGATGGGATCGACCCGCTTCAGTCGTTCTGTATAAGCTAACCACCAATTGAGGTAAGGAGGGCTGAAGAAGGCTCGAAGCATTTCATGGACCCGCGGCTAGTCAACGTGTCAGCCATGGCCAAGCTCGGTGAGAAGACCATCTCGTTACCTCGGCTTCGAGCCAGCGGGAGGGCGCGAGAACAACAGGCATCACTACCAGCGGGTCGCCAAAACCTGCTGGCTTCCCTGTGATGCAACATCGATTTCCATCCCTTTTGAGGATTTGAGCTTTCGTCCTACTGTCGGGGGCAGGTGGTGTTGTCCCGTGCTTTGTGACTAAAAGTATTTAGACTAAGGTGCTGCATTGGTGACCAGATATCCTCACTAGACTCTATGATGAACGTCCAATCTGAAACAAGGGCACGAAGCTCAACCTCACGGTGTTGGCTCAGATGGCAGTATCTGAGGACATGAGTTGCGGCCAGACCAGGATCCAACGCATCTGTAATGAAAGAAGTGAGTAATTTCCCTGAAGGATGTGGTAGGTTTTCATTTTCAATGATCGAGAAAGCCTCATGGCATTTAGGGTCGGTGATATAATTCATGAGGAATTGAGGGTTGCTCAACGTTGCACAGTTGGTAGGTGCGGGGGCACTCTTTATGAGCAGCGGATTGTCGCTGCGCGTAGGAAAGCTGAGATTTGTGACGGAGAGCTTATAATCACCGCATAGAACATAGATGTTTAGATACTGTAAAGCAGTAGGGTAATCAAGGAATGGGTGAGTAAAGAGTGATTGCGTAAGGCCATAGTATATTGGTAATTGTTGGTTTGTCTTGAGATGAGAGATGGATCGATGCCTAACGAGATCACGTGCAATTCCACGATTGCCTTCAGCAAACCAATTCACCTCAATCTGGGCATTTCTAACACACTGAAATACTTCTATTCAACCTGCTTCCACATCCTTTCCAAAGCTCCAACCCTAGCCACGGCCGCTGGACCCGTCGCAGCAGCCCCGACCTGCTGCATCGAATGATCCGCCATCGCCGCCTGCAACAACTGCTCATTCTGATACCCATGCCCAACCGTCGAGTTTCCAACCGTATGGTCATAATAAAAGTTCGTTGCATTCAGGTTTCCTGCTGCGCTAAACGTCACAGCTGCAAGACCAAGCGTTTGAGCCTGACCAAGAGCGTGTTTGGCAGCTGCTAGCATCCGATTCATCTCGGGGACCGTCCGGAGATAGATCTGGCGGCGTTGAAGGGCGAACGATAGGAAGGATGCTAGGTCTTGAGTCTTGCAGGCGTTCTTATAGAGCTGCCTCATGCGAGGGGAGTAGAGATCACAGAGTCGGGGCTCAGCGACCTGGTTTCCCTTCATGGTGAAGTGTTTCTCCAGCTTCGTGCCCTTCGCGACGACGACATAACATTCTTGACAGATGTGGGCATTATCCCATCCCCACCACCGACGATTCTTCGACAATTCAAGATTGATCTTGGGACACCCTGGAGCGGTACTGAGATCCACTGCCAATTCGCTGAGTGGTCGCCAATCGTTGATGTAAGCTGCCTCAGCGAACTTCTGCAAGAAAAGCACTCCACGAGGAAACCCGGGCAGATTGAATGAGCAGAGCCGGGCCTCAGACGGTTCAACAGACTGCTTTACTTTAAAGAAGTGAGTCACGTTCATGCTAGCCACAGTGCCCGCCATACACGTCGCGCAAACCTCGAACTCCGGAGGATCACTCGGAAGCGTATACCAGCGAATTCCTCTTGCGCCCTGAGGATTACAAGGCGGGTGTTGCGAGAGACTTTGCAGAGTGTTCCAGAATCTGGGATAGTTGCCCTTATCAACCGCCCGAATCATTGGGATCAGCATGTTTGCCTGCCCCATGTCACACGATGCCTCCTGTGAGGGTCCAAGACGAACTGTGCGGAACGACTGACTTTCCGTAGACTCGTGAAAGTAATCCCAATAGCAAGCTTCGCAGACCGCGAAGTTGGATGGGCCGCTTGAAGACATAAACCAAGTCCTCTCTGGGCCTGCGACAGGTTGTGCTTTGGGACACGGCGGAAGCTGCAGCCTCTTGTAGTACCCCGTGGTGAAAGCCGTCCAGTTGTTGTTGGGTGAATAGAGCTTGAGCATACGGCGGATGTACCAAACGCTATGGTCACAACTTGCAGCGCCCTGAGGCTTATGTGTACTAAACCTGTTGCCGAACGAGGTATGTCTGAAGTAGTCTTCATAGCAAGGCTTGCAAATTGCCATCTCTGGCCGATCTGGTGGGTAGTACCATTCATGTCCCTCGACTGACTGATCCTCTGGACAACGTCCCAAAGCAGGCCTCATGGCCATGAAGCTCACCAAGTTATCGAGGTTCATTGACGAGAGAGCAGCTGGCCAAAGATAGTCTTTGACGCGGGGCGTGCCGAACAGACATTGTCGTTCCAATCTGTCATCGTGCCATACCGGCGTGAACGTGTCTCGGAACTGTGAGTTGAGGATGCGGTCTGCGTAGCAACGACTGCAGATGACAAAGTCTGGGTAGGAACTGTGGATAAACCAGTAGGTTGGTAGTGTGAATGGCACGTCGATACATTCAGTTACCGGCTGAATTCCCAATGGCATCGGAGTGCTGGGGCCTCTGTTGGAGGCATCCTGGCCGGGTGAAGTTACAACATGTTGAGACACTGGAGCACCTCCGCTCGGTGGCAGCTGTTGGGGAGGTTGTTGAGCTTGATAAGGGTATTGTTGTTGCTGATACTGCACCTGCTGCGGAGGCGGGGCTACAGGCGAACCCTGAAGTTCCACTTGGGGTTGCACTGGTGGAGGAGGGTAATTCTGATAATACTGCTGCTGCGGCTGCTGTTGGTATTGCACCGGATATCCGGGGGCGTTGCGATGCTGCTGAGCCTGTTGTTGCTGCTGCTGTGGTGGTTGGTACCCAGCTGGCTGTTGCTGTTGCTGTAAATCTCTCCCAGCCTGCCTCACTGCTTTCTCCGCGTCGGACAGAAATTTTGTTAGTCGACCCATGTTGAATCGGGTTCCAGAAAGATCAGACGGGAAAATCCCACTGTGAGTCAAATATCTCAGCTGAGCACTTATACATACTTAGACCATGCTGCCCCACCGATGTCGTTCCGTGCCGACATTGCCGGTCAGTATGCCTCGTTTTCCCAGTTAGGCTGAACTAACTCAATTGGACTGATAGCTAGGATAGATTGAAGCCTATTGGGCTCGGAGCAATTACAAACCCGGCATTGAACATGCTGACTTCGTTTCTGTTGCGCCCTGCTGCTGCGTGACTCATCCCTGTCGAAGTTGACATGGCGCGCCCGTAACGAGTAACCAGACTGCTCGGCCCTATTCGCAATCATCAAATTACGCTTCAAATTGACTATGGTCTAGTATATCTACCCGAGTTTCTATGTCACTTTCAAGTTTCTCTTTATTGGGTCGCGTTCCCTCCAGCGCAGACATGGAGCTATCGCATTTGACAGCGATGCAGAAACAAGCTACCAAAAAGGCGAACGGCAGACCGACATGCATAACACTCTCATTCCGAGCCACAACACCACGCTTCGATCCTTGCTTAGACTAGTCCCCGGGAAAGCAAATCACTTAGAAGACGCCTGGGATGAAGCGTGGGGTAACCCGACTCCATGCAACCCATTTCTCTCCAAATGTCTCTTTCAACATTTTCTCCTCATCCTTCACTCTCATCATAAGCCTTCGCAAGATTCCAAATACGAGAACCAAGCAAAAGATAAGGCCCCAGCCGCTAACTGTCGATCGGAAGCCACGAGGAATCCAGCAACCGAATGCGCCGTCCCATCGCAAGAACAGGGCGAGGTTGACGACCAAGACCACAATTTGTCCTGTGTACCCAGGATGTTGAATATACCGATAAATACCATCCCTCATCAAAGTATCCGGCGGTCCAAGTTGAAAAGTGAAGTTCTTTCCAAGTTGAGCAAAGGCCGTGAGTCGAAGAGGTCCGCCGACGAGAATGACCATCGAGAGACAAGCCAGTGTGTATGAATTCCAGCTGAACAGCTCCGAGTTCAAGTTCTCAGGATGAGGACATACGAGACTGGAATCACCGTAGCCCATGGAAATGAGGGCGTGGAAAGCACCAACGCTGACAGCAAGAATTCGCCGAAGTCGCGCTGCTGTTGGGCTGGCGTAGGTTCCGAGACTGTCTTGCTTCCAGCCGTCGCGTGGAATCTCGTTGGGCGGCTTGAAGCAGGACATGGTGATGAGGCTGGACAATAGAACTGCCCCTGCGAAAGAAGCTTCGTGGAATATTGCCATCGTTTGACGATTTCTAAACGTATATTTAGATGAAGATGAAGTTCTATGTGATTACTGGCTTGTCATCACAGGTGGTTGTTCAGTACCGCTGTCTTTTAAATTGGTCGGCATCGGCAGTCGGCGGTTACAACCCCCGACGTTGGACTGAAGCACAACGTATGACGCATTGTCCTGACGCTTAGTACTTATTTCTACGGTTCAGATACCTCCTAAATTTCATTACAGTGATCGGCAAACTTGCTGCCGATTGACCGTCTTGAAAGTCGTATGATTACTCTACTAATACGATTAATAATCCCGATAACCAACACAACCATTCAGCTTCGGGGTTTTACATAATACTGACCTCGAAACTGATGGCTAGACAGTTGAATTGCCAAAGAATAAAAGGACTAATAGTTGCGTCTTTACGTTTCCAAAAGACTTTGTGCACAGATTTGTATGGGTTGGGGGATTACTCGCCATGTCGGTGCCTGACTGCAATGGAAGCCGGAGATCTAACACAGGTTTGCTGTACCTCAACTTCCATGGCCAACGAATTACACGTTAGAGCCTCAGGGAAGGCATCCGAGAACGAACTGTCTGTAGCTTGAGGTGAAGCGTTGTTCTATAGAGTATTGGGTCCTCATCTGCCAAGCCTCACAATAACCAATGTAGAGGTGGCTCATACCTCTTTATTCCTTCAACCCGATACCAGTCAAGCCATAATGATTGCCAAAAACGCGAAATGAAGTTATTCGCTTACACTCCAGTAGCTTGCTGGCCGATTTACTAGCGATAGCACCAGAGGGCTCTAAACTAGCCGGATATCTCAGGCATCTTACCCCACCCCTGTCCTCTCTGTGGCGATAACGGCGATTCAGTATCTCTGGTAATCGAATCAACTGCGAAGTCGCACCTGAGAATGGAGTGATTGGATCCTGTTGCTCAGAATGGACACTCCATGCCGACCGAATTACACCAAATCTGGTCATGGCTGTTCAAGATGTAAAGAGAAGAGAGTCCGTAGAGCTCACCGAAGATCCTGTTGACAATACTGACCTTTCTGCCAGGTGAAATGCGACCAGAGGAGGCCGGGGTGTAAACGATGTGAGGACTCAGGCTCATCGTGCCCTGGCTACGCTTTACACCTGCGATGGTCTGCTAAGAACCAACTTCAACAGAAGTCTGTCAGCGCTGGCTAAAAGCCTCGGACGAGAAGAGGGAATCAGTCATGCTCAAGTTCAACGAGTCATATGAATGGGGGAGAAACCGTTGATATTACAACGTCAACATTGGATCCCTTGCTCCTATTCCCTCACTTTGGAGATGCCAGCCCAATGCCATTCCCAGCTTTGAATGCCTCCGACATCCTCGGCTTCGGGGGGACCCTTCAGTTTTACAATGGCCTTTTCTAAATTTGGACCCCTCGGTAACTATCACTATGCCAGACGATGCGGCTCTTACAGATGGTTCACCGAGTTTGGATAAGACTGGGCAGTGGAAAGATCAGGGAACGGAGGTGGATCATTCCATTTGTTATGAGCTGGCTGCGCGATGAAGGTCAACAATCTCAGACTGATCTGAACACAACAACTCTACTTGCAGAGGCTCACAACACCGGAACTGCTGATCACCACTCATCACTGGCAATACTACAACAACTGAGCAATCTTCCAACAGCTATTTCCGACTTCTTTATACCAGAAGTCATACCACTTTACTGCGCCTGGGATAGTCAATCGAACCTGATGCGAGTAGTAGCAGAAAACTCATGGCAATCCTCAAAGGTCCTTTATCACACGATGCAAAGCATGTCAGCCGCTTGTCTAACAAGTGTCTTTCCCGAATTATCCACCACTGCAATTCAAGAACGCTTGAAAGCTCTTCAATGCTTGGACGAGGACAAATCAAGCGCTACAGAGTATGCTGAAGCAAGACTACTGGCAACGGTTCTCCTTTGCCACACTGCGAGTTGGCACGATCCCGGCAATTTGGCCAAAGAGAGATATCATTTAGGTGTGCATCATGGACGCCGTACCTATGTCTCTTCATTGGAGGCTCAATATCCATCTTTATTGGATTTGACATCTTCCAGCCGTGGTCACTGAAGGGCTTTATTACAAGTTATTTTGGTCTTACGTGGTTCTTCTTTATGTTCATTTTTTGGAAGGTCTTCAAGCGAACCCAGTTTATGATTCCTGCTACTGTGGATATCTTTGCCGATGGCAAGAAGCAGGCTGTGGATGAGGAGTGTTGCTTCTGGGAGGAGGGATTTGGTGATGAAGCTGAGAGGGATGCGCTGGCCAAGGAACATGTTGTCGTCAGAACTTGGGCTCGGTTCTGGGGCGGCTAATGGCCCTGGTGTATGTGATCACAGGTAAATCAGCATGTGCAGAACTTGACTGTTTTTTATTACTATGAGGTGCTTGGTTGTAATTGTCTATCCTTTCCCTCATATCCTTTCAGCTAGATCTGGTTTGTGGCTCATCATAATCACGTTACAATTCCATGGAATTATTTAGCTTCCGAATTGTACATTCTTCGATCAGAAATCATGCCCTATTGAGAGAGGTGGTAATTATCTACTATTAAAGTTCGAAGATATTACTGTTGGAGCGGCCAGCCACCCAAGATAACAGAATATGCTCATGAGAAAATTGGCTACATCGTAACTTTAACTTAACAAATTGATCATTCGACAAGGCATATAATCTATACGCGAAGCCAAAAGATGGAAGATCTCCCGTTTCCTGAAGCCTTAATGGTGGCCTTAGTCACTCCCCGTGAGACGTTGATAGAGTTTACACAAACTAAAGTTCACAACGAGGACCGTTGAGGCTGGAGTCACTTTTGACCTCTCAACGTTATCACAGAGGGCTTATCTCACCACACAGAACTTGATTGGTCTATGATACATTTCCAATATTTACGAACAAAACTTACATTGGACTCACGACCGATATGAATCCCTCTGCCTTTGATCGGCGCCATTCATTGTTGATGAATAGGCCCAAAGGTTGGTTATAAGTGACTCCCTCATAGCGGTAAGTTGCTGATAAAGCTCACTACTCCTGATTGCTTTGTTCTTTAGGATACGATCGCAGGATTATTGGCAGTATCACTTAGTGAGATTATATCACGATATGCTCCTGCCTCTTTCAGCATACGTACTCCAACTCCACGCCTCAGCAAGTTGCTTTCCAGATCAGGCAAGTTTGTAACAGTGCACCCTGGATGTCTGCGCTAGTATCAAACAGGCAATTTTGCGACAGCTACCGAAAGCAGCAAAGATTGAGGCTTGGGGTGCGATAACGGTAGACCCATCCTTATCAGTCTTATGATAACGGCAAAGCGTACTCTGTACTCCGTAGAGTAGCATCAGGTACTCGAAGTCTTGTCCGATCGCATACAAACTGTCCTAATAGCACCCGTGCAGAAACGACCATTGTTGTGTTATCTTGCATTGCCCTGGCTTTCTTTCCATATCCTGACCGCCTCTGTTATGTCTCTAGCACAATGTGCTCAGCTTCTTTTACTCCGCCAGAAGGGATGTCTTCTTTTTGGAGAACCGAAACAGGCGATCTCGATGGCCATCGGTCGACTGCGGAGCTCCCCACGGGTGTTGACATTGCCTAATTGGTGCCGGATACTCTGCAGCAGCAATTCTCACCCATATCCTGGCAACAACTTCATCTGAGAATAGGCCCTCAATTCTTGTTCTCGAAGCTCGACAGTTATGTTCGGGTGCAACTGGACGAAATGGTGGGCCATAAAGCCCATGAGACTCTTACGCTAGCACTGACAATTGAAGGTGGTCACCTCAAGCCAGACTCATATAACGCGATTTCTGCGTACGCGTCTGAGTATGGGATAGAAGCCGCCGCAGAGGTTGCATCCTTCGAGGCTGCAAATGTTGAAGATGTTACTGATTACATCCAACAAAACAAAGTTGATTGTGACTTTGTGCTTACGAGGCGGTCGACGTGCAACTCTCCACTGGCCATCAGCGTCGCATCAAGGAAGGCTATGATAAGCTTATTGCTGCTGGACTCGAAAGGACCAAGGATACGCTCAGCGTTAAGGAGAAGGATGCAGAAATGGTCAGTACGTCATATCTTTTTCTTCTCGATACTAACGCCATGTCTTCAGATGTCTGGTGTTAAGGGCGCAAAGGGGTGTTTTACATACACAGCAGGACACCTTTGGCTCTATTAACTCATTCATCATATGTCTTCTAAAGCAATCAGCCAAGGAATCAACTTGCAAACCAACACTCCAGTTCTTTATGTTTTCGAGACTCAAGATGCCACTGGTCAATATATCTTACGTACCAGCAGCGGCGAAGTCAGAGCGCGAAAGGTTGTTTTCGCAACAAATGCCTACACAAGTTCTCTGCTTCCCGAATACAAAAGCAAGATCATTCCGTATCGCGCCGTATGCAGTCGGATCAAAACCCCGGGGCCACATCCTCTGCTCACTAATACCTACGCGCTTCGATTCTCAGACTGGAACTTTGACTACTTGATCCCTCGGCTAGATGGAAGTATCATAGTTGGCGGAGCACGAGATGCGTATATCAGATTAGTTGACTCATGGTATGGCAACGTTGATGACACTCAAGTCATTGATGAGGCGCGATCCTACTTCGATGGCTACATGCAGAGGCATTTCCATGGATGGGAGGATAGTGGGGCGTATGTTGACGACATTTGGACTGGAAGTAAGCCCTATAATCTCATAACATTAATACTGAAGGACGCTGACATCAAAACAGTCATGGGGTATTCTTCCCACCGGCTCCCTCGAGTAGGGCCTATACCCGGCCGACCAGACATGTTTATCATGGGAGGCTTCACTGGCCATGGTATGCCGCAAATCTACCTGTGCGGACAAGCTATGGCCAAGTTTCTCCTCACAGGCGCTTCATTCAAAGGGACTGGTTTGCCCCGATTATTTGAAGAAACGCAGGCCCGCTTAGAAGACCCGAGAGACAGAGTGCTGGAGTTGTATGGTTCGGTTCTCAGTCCTTCAAAACTATAATGAGTTCGGCCCAAGGCTGGGGATTGGGCCAAGCTTCATTATAAAGTTTCCAAGTTCTTCTTGCGTTAATCGATTCAAATGTCATTAACAATGTAACACATCATCTCTTTTACCATGGGATGTCTATTGCTGTTACCATTTGGTTTATGGTGACCTCAACACTTCCAACTGAGGCTGTGAGCATGGGACACATCAAAACTCAATCAAACCCGGGCAAGGACACACCCTGTAGCTATTATGAGCAATCACATTATTGTGAGTTGTCAGCCTTGGAGCCTGGCCTTTTGCATTTTGGTTGGTCGGTTGGTTGTTTATTCCCTGCTCGTCAAGTCACGTGTAGTTCGCCGAAGGACGCCGTCAGAATAAGGCAGACTTCCCCCTTTTCAGCCCTGTTTTCAATCCTCACAATTAATTTATCTTTGTTCATCAATTACTACGAAGCTTGGATAGCTGGAGCATTGCTGTCTGTTCACGCGTTTGTTGCATCAAAACCCCGTGTCCAGTATTATCAGCATTCCGATTCCCCATCACTGTCTCGCCTCCAACAAAGAGTTTAAATGTCGGCTGCAATTGGCAAACCGCAACGTCCCGTCTCACGAGCAGACTTTCCGCTTGCTATTATCTGCGCCCTCTCCCTCGAATCTGATGCGATAGAAGCCCTATTTGATGAACACTGGGACTGTCATGTCTACAGCAAAGCCCCTGGCGACCCCAATTCCTACTCGACAGGGCGCATTGGCCATCATAATGTCGTACTCGCCTACATGCCCGAAGCAGGAAAGGCCAACGGAGCTTCTGTCGCGACCCATTGTCGCGTGAGCTTCCCCCATGTCAAATTGGCCATCGTGGTTGGAATCTGTGGAGTAATCCCCTTCACCACCGGGCCTCGAGATGCACACCATGAAATCATTCTAGGAGATGTGATTGTCAGCCAAAGCGTTGTCCAATACGACTTGGGACGACAACACCCTGGTAGCTTTGAGTTCAAAAACACCAATGAAGAGGCTCTTGGGAGACCAAACGTTGAGGTTCGCTCCCTGCTATCGAAGCTGAAGGGCCTCCGAGCACGAAGAGCATTTGAGTCCGACATGAGGAGTTTCCTCACACTCCTGCAGCAAGATCTAGAGCTGGCAGCGCATTACCCCGAACCCGGGACAGATCGCTTGTACGAGGCAACCTATCGTCATGTCGACAAAGACATGTCGTGTGTCAAGTGCGGTTGCAACGGAAAGCTTGTGCCGCGGGAGCGGCTAAGACAGGACGTGCCAGAGCCTAAAGTACATTTTGGAAGGATTGCCTCCGGCGATACTGTCATGAAGTCTGGTGAGGATCGCGACGATATCGCAAGAAAGCTTGGTGTCATTGCGTTCGAGATGGAGAGTGCTGGCGTTTGGGACAGCCTACCATGTTTAGTTATCAAGGGCGCGTGTGATTATGCCGACAGCCATAAGGCTAAAGCTACCCAGAACTACGCTGCAGCGACTGCCGCTGCTTGTACTAAAGCTATACTGCGCCAGTGGGTGGTTCCAACCAGTCATGGTCGGTAACTCGTCTGCGGCTTACTTAAACATGCTGACCATGAAATAGATTCAGCAGGGAAGATAAACATATCGCGTTGTAGGTATTCATGCATTTACTGAATTATGATGATACAGTTAACATTCAATTCGATAGTCTTGGTCCCTTTCCCGCCAAATAGAGACTTTGTTGGCCGAGAGAACATTCTCGCGAGCCTCCGTCAAGAATTATGCTTCGAAAATTCTGATGAGGTCGCAGCTCTCTTTGGTTTAGGAGGGGCAGGGTAAGTTAACCTACATCATGTACGGAAGACAACAACTAAGCTTTCAGAAAAACACAGATCGCCCTGGCATACGCGCACGAGACACATGCTCAAAATCCAGATTTGTCAGTCTTTTGGGTTTATGCAAGTAATGAAGAGCGCATGAAGCAGTCATATGCCATGATCATGCAACAATTCGAGATCCCTCGCGGTGGTGGCTTGAGTGATCTTGAATTGGTGAAGCAATGGTTAGAAGCCGAGCATCAAAAACCGTGGCTCATGATTGTCGACAATGCCGATGATATGAACCTTTTCTATGGTGCTGGTGGTCTGAGTCGGTATCTCCCAACTTGCCCTCAAGGTAAGCTACTCGTCACGACAAGAAATCGGCAGGTAGCTGTCCGAGTTACTAAAGGCCGGTGCTTCATCGAGATTCCGCGCATGACCGAGAGCGAAGCACATGAACTCCTTGGTGGGCATCTAGGGTTCTTGAGGCCCCACGTTAATGATCTATCCACATTGGCGTCGAAGCTAGAATATCTTCCTTTGATACTTGTGCAAGCCGCTTCATTCATTAAAGAGAACGATATCTCTATCAGCGAGTACCTGAGCCTTCTAGAGACAGATAAGAACATGATAGAACTTCTCGATGAGGACTTCGAGACAGATGGCAGGTATCCAGACTCACTTCGAACTGTTACCAAAACTTGGGCAATTTCATTTCAACAAATCAGACGCCAGAATAAATTAGCAAGCGACTTACTATCAATCATGTCTATGTTCGATCATCAGCATATACCCGAGGACTTCTTGGTCAGTTATGTATCGCTCTTTTATGGCCAGGAAAAGACTTTGGAGCGTCTTAGGGCTATTGGGCTTCTCAAAGCCTTCTCCTTCGTGTCGAGTGGAGAAGACAACAGCATTGCTATGCATCGACTGATACAGCTCGTGATGCGTGAATGGCTCATCAGAGAAGACACAATAGAACACTTCCTGTGCATGGCCGTCCTTGCAATAGACGGGTCATCTTTTCTTAAGACCAACGGCCACTCGTACACATCAACACGAGTTTCCAGTCATGCCTATCACATGCTTACCCCCTTTCGCATATTTCAGAATGCTTTTGGTGCAAATATGTGGAGTCGTACGAATACCCTCGACATCTTCAAGTATGCTTTTCGTGCCATCTATCGGGATTTGATCTTTCTCCTCACATGCAATGATCTAGAAGAGAAGGCACTGGATAAAAGGTTAGATCTGAAAAAGGAGAGGCTTGATACAGTCGCTAGTGCTGCGGTATTTGAAAGCGACTATCACGCATTATGGGAGAAACGAAGTTATCTTATACGAACGTTGAAAGTTATTAGGGAGGAGGAACGAACTACCATTATACAAGAGTTGGAGACTGTTGTCCTTACATGGCGATTGTTGTCGCCTCCTGGCATAAGCAATACATGGGAGAAATGCAAAGCAGATCTTCGGGGTCATTAGTCCCGGTGTGGTGGCTAGACAAGTTAAGATTTGTGTGATATGGTAGGGGGCGATAAGGGAGTATGGAGCGTGTGTCAATATTTCCATGATATCTAATCTAATCATTGGATTTAGACTGACAGTTGGAGAGATTTGAATCGCATTCTTCGACGAGACATTTCGAAATACATGTTTAGTGTTTCATGGTCTGATTTGTCTATCGAGGATCGAGATGATATAAAGCGTTTCTCCGTTCTTCTGTTTCGAAAAACGCGAAGAGTTGCAAAAATAAACGCCTCAATTTGCGTACACGTCGTACCTGGGCTCAAATTACAAAGATGCGTTATGCCAAAGGATTTATTATATTCAACTTGGCCAATGGCTAGCCAAGCAGGCTTGCGCGACTGCTAAGAAAATTTAAAGTTAACAATCTACTGTATCTAGACTATTTAACGCAACTGTTACTCTGTTAAAGATTTAGGTAAAAGATGTTATTGTTATTGTTGTTATTGTTATATTATTTAATATCCTACTAGGCTTCCCCTAGCTAACCTCTATAAGAAGTAAAAGGATATACTAAGCTAGCTATAATAGGCTATTTTACAGGTAGGCCAGGTAATAACTTACTAAAAACAAGGCTTTATAAAGCTATATATTTAAATTATAATAAAATCTTAATAACTTTTTTACCTTTTTAGTTTTAAAAAAAGCCTTATTTTTAAAGCTTAGTTTTTATTAGTAAAGGTATATAAGTATAGCTATTACT